AATGCACAGTAACAAGAATAAATGAACCTAAAAGTTCACTCACTTAGGGGCTGTTTGTTTCAGCCTTTTAATGGTTCAGATGTCTGAATGGTTCAGTACTTAATGGTTCAGACTGTTTGTTTCAGCCTCTTAATGGTTCAGATGTCTGAATGGTTAAGAGATTTGCCTCTGAATGGTTAAGTATTATACAGAGTCTGAATGGTTAAGACCTCTTATCTGAATTGATCAGACATTTGCCTCTGAATAGTTAAGCAATATACTAGCTCTTAATGGTTCAGACCTCTTACTGGTTCAGCACTTAATGGTTCAGACCTCTTACTGGTTCAGCACTTACCGATTCAAAAGTTGCCAAACAGCCACTTAGTTGTATTTGATAGCGGCATACCAAGATCACATGAGAATGAAAGAGAATGTGTAGGAGTGATACCTCTTGCTCCTTGTAGTGTTACATCAGGATGAGAAGATTTTATACTAACTTGGGTCGGCATAATTGGGCTGATATCCACACTGAAGTCTACAATCAGACTGTAGGCAACACATTTGCACCAATTGATAAAACATTCCAGTCGGGAGTTTTAAATAATTAGAAGGCTTTAATATCTTTAATGATGGAAAGCACATGGAGAAGCATTCTACAGCAGGCTTGACTGCTTAAGAACTGGGATTTGACAGAATTGAGAGAGAGAGAAGATGAATGAGAGGAAATTGATATTTTCATTATTATAAAGATGATCAGAGTAAAAGAGAGAGTATTTAAAGGCAAATTGTGTAACTAACTGCGTAACTACCTCCCAGCGTAGCTGTAGGTTAGTTTCCGTGTTACACAATTTGTATTAATCAAAACTCATAAGATATCAAACAGTGCCAATGAGGGCAAAGACACATTGCCTCCAATATAATAATTCTAAGCTTACTTAACTCATCATCGTCAAGGCCGTTTGTTGAACTTGCAGATGGATATCTTGCAAAAGTAAGAATGATATCGATACCCAAATCTGCAAACTTTGAAAAGAACTTGCATCTTCTTTTTGCTAAAACAAGTACCAAAGTATATTGAAGTGCACAGCATGTGAATCACTAGTATGGTTTCCTGTGTTTTCCTGTGTAAAGCAACGGAAGAGACTCATACCAGCAGCAAAGGATAAAGGCAATAGTCTGACACGGATATGTTATAAATCACCAGCAATGAGTATCATATTGAAAACTTCGGTAAAGTAATCTAGAACTAATCTACTCACAGACAGATATGTGAAAGAGATCTCACAACCTTATGTTTTCTTTGCCTTCAATTTAGAACTACATATACAAAATGGAAAAGAGTGTCAAAAATAAAAATGAAAAAATAAAATGCAAGGAATGTGAAATCTCCAAAGGTCATGCCATCTAGGCTTACGGGCAACATTTTCTAGAAGCAATCTGCAAATGATTTCCCCTAAAGCCAAAGCTCTTCAAAAATTTTGTTCAAATACTTTTTGGTTGCGGGATTAATATTTCAACGGCGTTTTTCACACTTGGAAGCTAAAAAGTCGCATCATTGAAAAATCCACACTTTGGGCAAAATTTGCTCAGATGGTCACGGACTGGACAATCAATGGTCACTTGACGTAGGGTTAACATTTTAATAAAAATTGCGAGACAAGTGATGGTGCCTATTTATGCCAATCCATGGTCTTATGTCTGCACGCCCCAATGGTCCGTTTCTGAAAAACCATTCAATGGTCTAAACAATTTAGACAATGGATGGTCGACCGTTTTTTCAACATCTTCCAAGTGCTTTTCATGACTTAAGTAATTATTCCTCAATGGTCAAAAGCTTTTTTACTATAAATAAGGAGGCTTTTAAACACCATTTACATCAACAAATCTTCCCCAGATATTATAGCTTTGATTATATATTTTCTACACATTTTAATAAGCTTTTGTTGATCTTCTCTTGGGCCATTTGAGAAGTTATTGAATGTTGTTCATAGAGCTTTCATTGTATCTCTTCATCAACTCTTTTGAGAGAATTTTTGTTAGAGAGAGGTTAAGAAAATCATATCTTCTTGTTTTGTTCTGGTTTGCACAAGAAAATCATTCAGCAATGGCGGCCAAGCTGTCTGGTACTGTGGCGACAAAGGAAGCCACTGGATTAGAAGTATTAGGGGGATTGCAACACAGAAGGACCTTTTTTGACATTCTCTGATACCAAAAGATAAGAAGGAAAGGGGAACTGAATGGGAAATGAAATGATAAAATCTGTTGAGAATGTTTTGAGCAAGGATCTCTCTCAATATCCAACAATGGGGAACATCCAATTGAAAATGATAATCTATTCAATTCTCACACATGAAAAATGTTAGAGATAGATTAGATTGCTTATAGAGTGTGATTACAAGTTAATCTTAAGATAACTGAAAATCTCTAAAAATCAAAGACGACAACAGACTAATCTCATCTTAGCGTATTATACCCTTAAAAGAAGCAACAAAGGAAAAATAGAATAAAACTCCTAAAATGCCCGAACATTTGAAAATTCATAAATATCTTGTGCAACAACAAACAAACAAATAAATAAATAAATATCGTGCGTTTACTAGGATTCTTATCAAGCTTGAACTGAAGTCTAAAACATTCAGCAATAACAACAAACCCTATGTACAGGTAATTGTCCTTTTAATATATAAAATTATTGAGAAAAAAACACAGTGAGGATAACAAACAAATCCTAACATTTCCATTTGCTTGGTTTGTTCTATTACACTATTAAGGCTAATATAACCAGGTCGTGAAATGTGATTCAAAGCCCCATTGTCGGTGCAAAGATTAAAAATAAACACAAATAAACATATAGAGTGTAGTTGTTTCAAATTAAAAACATTCAGTTTATTTTAAATTTCGCAACAGGTATCGCAGAAAGGACAATGTGTTGTAACCAATTCCAGTTTCATGACGAGCTACTAGGAGGAGAAGCATCTATCAACACAAATAATTCTCATTACAACAACAACCCCACCAGGATCCCAAAAGAAGTAGGGTTTTGGGGGAGGTAAGTGTACGCAGACGTTACCCCAAGTTGGGAGTAGAGAGACTGTTTCAGGAGACCTACAGCTTAAAAGACAAGTAGGGGCAAATACACAACATTAGCACAAACAAAGTAATAGCAGAGAGAGCAGAGAATAGAAACACATATAGCAACTCAGACAACTAAACCTACAGCACACAAGTACAATTTGCAGACTAAAACATAAAAACAACCCAACCAAAAGTAGGAACTAAGACCTACAGTTTACTCAACCACTCTAAAATCATGGAGTCATAAACCCCCCCCCCCCCCCGGGGGGAATCACCCACAA